AGTGCCTACAACATCAGCGACGGACAGTTGGTGTGGGCGGTGACCACACCTCGTCCTCCAAACAATGCCCCAGCCGTGGGACATGTCATGAATCTTCCTGGCCTGTCAGTGGTTATGCCTTTGTGCCAGCAGGTACTTCCGGGCGCGACTTGCGACGTCCACGTCTATGATGCCGAAACTGGTGGCCTTCAGTGGGTATTCCACGGGCCAAGCCAAAAAGGTCTGCTTCAGGCCGGTGATGCTGAGGGCATCTTGGGCCGGATCTCACGTGGGGTCCGCTCAATGTGCTTGCCGAATGGATGGAGTGCTCCCACGATCGACTCGCAGGGAACAGTCTTTGTGGGCAACGAGGAAGGTAATTTCTTTGCTCTCAGAGACTTGGATGGTGATGGCGTAACCTTCGGGGACGGCGAGGTGGCATTCTTCGACACGAAAGCATCTTTTTCAGGGTCTTCCAGCCCAGCCATTGCCCCAGGCATCCTTGCCATAGCTTCCTGCGACACCCTCTTCGTTTTCAAAGAGTAGGCCGCTGTGAAGATGCCGTTCTTGGCATCTATTCCCCACCATCCGAACAGCGTGGTGCTGCCAGGACAGATGGTCATGCAGATGTAGAGAAGCTGCAGCGTCTGTCGTGTTGGCAGAATTCGCCTGACATGTCTGCAGCAAGAACTTTGCAGGCTTGGTGGGGAGGCTGCTCGGAGGACTGCCACAGACCCTTTGCAGAAAACGCATGCGCCTGCATCCCTTCTACCGCATACTCTAGTCATACCTTGTATAGTATATAGCGTACGGTGTATCGTATATACGATATAGTATATAGCCTGTAGCATATGGCATATAGTAACATAGTCTATAGTATACAGCATCATCGAATGTGCAGTATACTCCTGGAGAGACCCGGGATTGCAAGTCACCGAACTGCCGAGCCAAGAGTTTTCCCGCAGAGGCCCCCGGCGAGGGACAAGGCTGGCCTCTGCTGCCTTCCACCTCTCCGGCATTCCCCGGCTGCTACCCAGGAGAGGGTTTCAGGGTTTCGGGGTCCCCCAAACCCTAAACCCTAA